TTTTTTTAAGTGTTTAGAAAACTAAAAATATACCTTATTCTGACTATTTCTTTTTGTCTTAACAGAACAAAAACGCCGCAAAATTGATACTCACCCTTCTCCGTCGCATTCCTCCACAGTAAAGGTTAGTATAGCCTGAGGAAGGCAGCGTCCATGTTAGGCTGACCTGTTTGGAATACCAGTGTCCTGACTTCCTTCAAGTCTTATGCCAAGCATTCACTGGAGCCACTGGAGGTTTTATATTGCATTAGAAAATGAATTTTTCTATATTGGTGGACTGATTTTTTTTTCCTATTATTTTTATTATAAAAATGTTCAAACTTCAAGGACTTGGCACTAATTTTGTAGTGTTTCAAAGTGCAAGAGAAATTTTACCCAGAAGTGCCTCAGCTGCTTTACGCAGTCTTTTTTGGAGTGCAATGGTAGCTACAAGCAAACAAATCTTTTCAGCAGAATGAAGCCTATTTTTCAGCATATTGAAGAATATATAGCACTGAAGACTTCCTGGATGATACAGGATAAACAAGTTACCTCTGAATTCAAGCTTCTTGATGAGCATCATACCGATATGTGCCTTCTAAGAAGGAGTCTTGAAAGGAGTTCCATTTTAAAGTCTCCTTGGTGATCAGTTCTCCTGTAGTTGTGTATATTCAGTGAGCATGCAGCTTCTGTTGTATCTTCCCTTGGAGGTTTGTTTATACCCTTATTGGGTTCCCAACAAGTTGAACCTTCCGTTACGATAAAAGCAGATGTGGCATCCAATCCTACCACCCAGCAAAGAGAAACCCCAGGCATTCAACTGCAGCACAAAATCGTGGGTGTAGCCTTCTTGAAGACTCAGGGTAGCCATTCCTTGCTCCACATTTAATTTTAATTCTAAAGTCATCTAATTTCATGGAATCTTTGAATTTGCAGTACGTTGAACTTTTTAAAAACTGTAAGTTACTAATTCTTCATGAAAGCACTGTGGTGGAATATTGTAGTTGATTTCTTTTTCTTTCTTTTTCTTTTAATGCTTTTTTTTTGTGTGTGTAGGAGGTGTGAGATTCACCATGATAGGCACTTTGCAAAAAAAAAAAAAAAAGTGATTAATCTTATATATTTTGTTTTCTGGTTAATGCAATGCCACTGAGTTTTCCAGCTAAGATTTAAAAAATATGTATATTTATATTAGAGTTAAAAGTAAAGTAAAATGTGAAACCTCCCAATTAAAGAAGAACTATAAAAAATATAAGGCAATGTTCTTCCACAGTGACCTCCAGTATTTTAAATTTTTTGTGGAGAAAAAAATGTTTTGCTTTCTTAAATCTCTTAAGTTATCTATAGCTTAAGTAGAGAGAGATGAAAAGTGTGGCATTAACATTTATTTTAAAATTCTGAACAGGGAATGATGTTTATTTCTTACATTGAGTACTTTTAATTTAGTTTTTTAACATTACAATTCCATTACATGGTTTTGTTTTTGTTTTTATTGTTGATATTCATATTGATGATGACATCATGAAATTTATCCTCACAAGAAGTAGCTGGTTTATTTCCAGGTTACAGCCATACTTCCCAAAGTTCCTCTGGGTTCTGAGAACTATGCCAGCTCACCTGTCATCTCCATTCATTTTCTACAGGACAGTCTCATCGAACTCAAGGAATCTTCAGCAAAGGTTTGAGTCTTTTAAAATCATCATGCCTAAGTAAACCAAATGTTCTTTACTTATTTTACTTAATAGATGCCCTCACCCTAGTACATTCAGTAAGCTGAGATCAGTGGGAAAAAGTACTCTGCTTACATTGAATAACCTTCAAAAATATTAAATGTTAAAACTGAAAAAACAGATGACAATGGTCCCTTTTAATGCGATTGTTACAAAATATATGTAATGTACCAACATTTCTATCATCTCTCCTTCCTTGCTGTGCTATACATTCTCCTTTTATGCTTCAAAATCTGGAAGTAAGTTTAACATTCAGGGAAGAGGTTATTGGTTTGTTTTGGGTTTATTTAATTTTTCAAAACAAATCTGCCAGGCTTTCTGACTGTTTTAGACAACCCAAAATACCAAAAAATAAATTCAGTGCATTCACATATCTGTTTTAAAAATGGACCTCATCTCAGTCCGTAAAAATTCTTTATGTATCCTTTGCTGAGGTACCTTTCTGGTAGTTGTAGCACAATATCAGAAGATACAGTTAATGTGAAATAATCATTCCCATGGAGGGGAATACTCAGTGGTTGTGTTTACATGTCAGTATTAATTCTTATCTGTTATTCTACTTTCTTGAGTATTCTAAAAATAGCGTGCAGTTTGTGTATCTTATTACAGAGTTTATTACAGTATTATAGTTGAGTTGTCCATTGTTCATGTTGTTTTGTCTTTGTTATAAAATGTGGTCCTTCAAATTTTCTACTTTGCCTCCTCTTACAAGCTACAAGCAAATGAAATCTGCTTAGCAGAATGGAGCCTATTTTTCAGCATAAATATTGCTTACCATAATTAAAATAGAACTCTGCTGAGCATGATTTCTTTACTGGTGGACCAAATGAAATTTTGAAACAGAGCCAGCTGACATTACTAACTGCTTTTAGATGTGTAGATTTATGATGAAATGTCTGTGGGTATTAGGTAAATAAGCACTAATTTTTAACAGTTTATATTAGTCAGTGTACCTGCATCCTAAAATTGTAGCATTGTTTTTAGAATATACTGTATTAATCAAAAGTCTCAGCTATACTGGGATAACTTCCATTTACTTTTATTTTTTTCTGATTTGAATGGATGTTTTATTTGAAGTAGATATTGGGATTATTCTGAAATATGCTACTGAAGTACAAGCCAAAATAACATATTAGACACATCAGCTTAATATTATTTTTGAAAATTCTAAACATTCAACATGTTTTTGTTTTTTGGTGTTAGCCATAATGTCACAATACTAATGAGAATTTTCAGTACCTAGTAGGAGTTATAAAAATGTTGATATCAGGTTGGAATTATATACTACTGTTTTTTATTACATGGGATCATTATTTAAAATGATGTTCCTATTTAGGTTAGTTTTGGAAAGCTTTATTTATATTTCAATTTTGAAATCTATAGAACCTTCATTTAAAGTAAACTTTTTATTGGCTAACTTAAATATATATTGCAATATAGTAGGTTTTTAAAACCGGTTTTTATTTGTTTGTGTTAGTCTTAACCATCAGTGGGTTGTGTGGGCTATTTCAAATTAATGGGCTAACAGTGTTAACTTGTGAATATTTATTTACTGAAATACTTTGAAGCATTTTGTAACCTGCTGTTTAATTGGATTTTCTAATCGATGATGGTTCCTCACATTTGTGAAAAGGCCTTTTGAAATATGTACTGTCTCATTGCATGCTCATAACAGTGCTGTGAGGTAGACATGGCAGGTGGATAATGTCTTTTTGACAAATGAGAGACCGAAAGTTCTTTAGCTTTCCTAGTTAACACCTTGTTAGTATCAAAACATGAACTAAAATTGAGATTCATTGATTCCTAGCACCACTCATTTCAACAATAGTTGAAAGGGTTTTTGTAACTCCTTTAGTGTGTTTGCCTTGGTTTTTAAAAATTAATAGCGATTCAAGTCAATCTCTCACATCCCCCCTTTTTAAAAGTGGTGTTTTGTGGGCATTTAGAATTTAATAGATTTATTCCACATGCAACCAGAAAAAATTGAAAATGGCATATACATATGCTTCTAAAAATTATGTGACTCCTACTACTTTTCAGATCCTTAGTATTTAGCATAGTACCTGGCAGTAAGATTAGGTATTCAATAAATATTTGAAATAATCCCTTAAGTCTTTGTACTTTGGTAAAGCATGCAAAGTACTAGTTTGCATAGTAACTGGTGTTGCATTTTTATGTATCTAGAAAGTTTAATAGCATATGAATGCCTTAGAAAAAAATTTCACTGGACTTTGAGTGATCTCCAAAATTGATTATCTATAGCCTCACTGTTTCTGGGGTAGCGTTTTCTAGAGGGTTTGGAAGATTCGCATCTGTTTTCATAATTATCTTATCACTTGTACATATAAAATTCTCTCCCTGCTTTAGTTTGACTTTTTAGTTGTGCTTTGTATAATTCTCTTTATTATTTATTTGCTATTTTTACTTTCTAATTCGTGGTAAAAGCAATACACGGATTTAGCTTTTCAAATGAGATTAGCTAAAAGAAGAAAAAATCTGGCTTAGTATCCAAATCTTTTCTGTCAGTTCACTCTTTGCCCTTAGTTTCCAAATAGTGTATTTCTCGTTTTGATCAATTGGGTTTTGATGTAGCAATTTTAAATGCCAGCTACATTTGATAAAGAAAATGTTAAAAAAGTACTTGTTCTAGTAATCAACCTCTCTGTAATTTAAGAGGGCATCAGTAACCACCTCAAGACAGAATTTAGCTTTTAATTTGTTTACCATCTTAAAATGAGGATTTACAACCAAACCCAAGCTTAAAAGTGAGACTCTCTTTATATAATTTGGTGAAGCTTTAATAAAATCAATGGAGCAATGTTTTCTAAAGCAGATTTTGAAAATCAGTCAAATTCTTTTTTGGACCTTAATGATCCCAATGTCAAAAATAAAAGCCAGTCAAGAACAAAACCCAGCAATGCTACGTGCAAATTCATTTAATGAATCCTTAATTTTATTTGGCAAACTTGAGTACTCACTGTGTGTACAAGGTACCAGGAAGTATGTAAAAGTAGAAAGGCACCTTAGCTCTCCTACCATACTGGAAACTATGTTACAGACAAAAATGTGTGACATGAAGTTAGTAGGGAGCACCCGTCATGAAAAAGGTAAATATAAAATAATGGAAAGTGAGTTGCAGGGTTGAGGGATGGTTGAATGCTAATGACTTTCAGCCATCTTTGAAGGTTAAGTAGGATTGCAGGAAGTTAAGATAAAAACAAACAACCATTCTAGTAATGAGAACTGCTGGAAAGGACAGATGTTAGGGAGCAGTGATAGCCACAGCATAGAATGCATTGGGTTGCTATATGCATCTAATTCATTAGGCAATGAGAAACTGTATGTTTTATGCAAAAGATTATTATCCGAACTATTCTGAAGAAGGAATTGAATTGGGTACTGAACTAAGAATTTCTGATTGTGTATCAGTTGAGCTATGTGACTTCTTATGTCAAGAATGAAGTATTTGAACATTAATGCCAGAAGTAAGTTCTAGAAAAATTTCTTAATTTCTCGCATTACGAAAAGCAAGTAAGCCCAGTTCAAAACTTCATTATTAACAATGGTTGTGTGTGTGTGTGTATGGATTTATGATCACAAACCTTTTTTTTTTTTTTTTTTACTTTTATTGGCAAAAATTAATACTTAGAGAAGTCTTGAGTATTGCAGTAATATATGATTTCCTTTGTCTTAATCATAAATAATATTAAGATATGAATAAATCTCACAATTAGAAAAATTCTTGAAGTGTCATTTAAGACATAGCCAGCAAGAGCATCTTTTAGACAAGTACTTTTATGACTATTTATCATTCTCTTGCTCTTTGTTATTAATAAGCGTTTTGTCTGTTTTATTTCGTCAACTTTTAAACATTGAAATTTTAAAGAGTCTACTTCTGCATTCTATGGCAGTATTTCTGAGCCAACTGAATTGAAAGTGTTTGGTGTTAAAAAATAAGTGTTTAATTCTCAAACCGATGGTGGTCTTTTTTCATGTATTCCTTTGAATACCAAAGGATTTCTTCATGTAAAAATATTTGAGTTTTGACTCACTATTCTATTTGTTCCTAAGGTAAATCTAGCATTGTGTAGTTATGTAATGAGTTATATTCAGTGTTTTGCTGCATAATACTTTTAATGTTTTAAACATAGGCTTGTAGCACAGTTATAAATGCCATTAAGGTTAGGTACCTGATTATTTCCTGACTACTTCCTAAATATTTTATTTTACAGCATAGTTCCATATTTACAACTCACCTAAGAAGAGCTATCTCTCAATTATTTAGTTAGAATATCCTTGATGTTTGGCTGTTTTGCCTATAGCCCTTTTGGCAGAGAAAGAATAGGCAGAGGAGAATATTAATTCATTATTTTTTAGTCTTTTGAGTTGTTTAATCATCCTTAGCTGACTAGATGGTTTTCTGAGGTATTTAGAACCAGGAAGACAAATTTCACAGTTAATTGTGATTATTTTGATCGAAATTGGAATGCTTTCAGAAGTAGAGAACATGCAGCTTTTATATTTGTAAAAAAATAATTTAGGATAATCTTTGCATGGTTCATACCGAGGCAGAAAAGAATTAGTAGCAAAATCATGGCTAGGTTTTATTTTTATATTTTTGCCCGTTGTCATTATTGACTGCCTGTCAGTGGATGGTAAGACTATTTAAAATTTCCTTGATGGTGTAGAGATTTTTTTGTTTTTAACAGAGAAAGTCCAGTTACTATTTTTCATATATGGACTCTTGTAATGGTGGTTATAGGTCTTTACAATAGAGCTATAAGGAATCCTCTAGCTTGTGAATTTACTAATGAGTCTCAGTTGAGGCACAGATGAACTGGAGTTTAAATGGTAATTTTTATGAGGCCAAGAATTGCAACTTTGTATAATATGTGCCATGTCCTTTTATTTTACCTCTTATAATCCGGATAGCTGACCAGTTTTGACTCTGGGTATAATTCCCAATTGTGTTTCATTTAATAAACAAATGATGCCAATGCTGGAAAACTAATAATCTTCAGTAATATTGCCTTAATTTAACAGCTCTACATTAATCATACTCCTCCACCACTGTCCAAGAGTAAGGAGAGAGAAATGGACAAGAAAGATTTGGACAAGTCAAGGGAAAGATCCAGAGAAAGAGAGAAAAAAGATGAAAAGGACAGGAAAGAGCGGAAAAGGGTTTGTAATTTTTTTAAACTAGTTTGGAAAGCTCATTATCATGTATACCAGTGTGTATGTTGCCTTTTAAAAAATACTAGTTTGTTCCATAGTAGTCTGTTAGTTAATGATTTCATTGATATTTTTACCCTGAAGTCTTTGCATCTTCTACATTAATAAGGATCTTCAGCCTAGTAATCTCTACCAGCTCTGCTTGTCTTTCATGCCATTTTATCTAGTGTGTGATACTGCTGCAAATAATATCCTCCATTGCTAGTTATCTGTGCTCTTCTCATATAAAAATAATACTTTAAAACAAAACATAAGCCCTTGGTCAATGTAGTTCACAATTCTTGGTTCTAGGATCACTCAAACAATGACCGTGAAGTGCCACCGGACTTAACCAAGAGACGTAAAGAAGAAAATGGAACAAGTAGGTAGACTTATTAATATCTTTGAAGCTATCATCAAAGTGAATTGGAAAAGGCTTTCATGACTTTCTTTTGTAATTTTAGTGGGGGTTTCAAAACATAAAAGTGAAAGTCCATGTGAATCTCCTTATCCAAATGAAAAAGATAAGGAAAAAAATAAGTCAAAATCTTCAGGCAAAGAAAAAGGCAGTGATTCATTTAAATCTGAGAAGATGGATAAAATCTCCTCCGGTGGCAAAAAGGTAAATTAGGAAAATAAAGGAATAATATGCTTTATCTTAAAAAAAAAATCAACTCTGAAAATTTAGCAAATATTGAATTTTTTTCCTGGTCATATAGTCTTTTGTTCATTATTTAGGGGTGGAAAGAAGAGGTATTGAGGGAGGGCAGGTTATCTATTTGGGGAATTTGAGTCAGTTCATTCCCGGATTACTAGGAGGGTAGAGCTAATATACTTCTGAGATTCCTTTCCCCTCTCCATTCCACTCCCACCTACTTCTGTTGATTGAGTTTCAGCTGTTCTTTGCCTTTTCTTTTTTCTCCACCAACTCTTTGCTTTTAGTTTCTTTTTATTCCTGAAATTAAAATATGGTCACATGTATTCTTTCTGACCATCATAGTGTCATAAAGTCTTGATTGTGATTTGAAACATTTTTGCAACATTTTCTCCTAATAAACTGATTTGTTTGAAACTTGTATTTGATTTAAAAATTAAATATAAGGTACATTCTCTTATGTATTAATGGTTGATATTTAAAATGAATATCATGCATCTGTCATAAAGTAATAAGCCATTACTACAGTATAAATTGTTTACAAAACATTGTTATATATATTGAAAATATATGCCATATATTCATAGTTTATAAAACCACCTTTAGAAAATTATATGAACATTTTAATTCTATGCTTTAAAAGATAGACTGTTCTTTTATGTGTTTTTTAATTGAGGTAAAATTCAAATAACATAAAATTAACCATTTTAAAGGTGTACATTTAAGTGACATTGAGTATATTTACAATGTTGTGTAATCGTCTCTATGTAGTTCCAAAACATTTTTATCACCTCCAAGAGAAAACTCTATATCCGTTTAAACAGTCACTCCCATTTCCCCTTCTCCTCAGCCTCTGGGAACGATAACTTTGTTTCTTTGTGGATTTACTTATTCCGAATATTTCATATAAATGAAATAGTACAATAATGTGGCCTTTTGTGTCTGATGTCTTAGCATAATGTTTTCGAAGTTCTTCCATGCTGTAGCATGCGTCATTTACTTCATTTCTTTTTATACCTAAGTAATATTTTATTATGTGAATATGCCATATTTATTTATCCATTTGCCAGTTGATGGACTTCTGAGTTGTTTGCACGTTTTGGCTATTGTGAATAGTGCTGCTGTGAACATTTTTGTGCGGCTATAAATATTTGTTCAAACACCTATTTTTAATCATCTTGGATATATGCCCAAGAATGGAATTTCTGGGTTATATGGTAATTCTATGTTTAACTTTTTGAGGAACGACCAAACTCTTTTCCACAGTGGCTGTACAGTTTACATTTCCACCAACAAAGTGTCAGCTTGCAAATTTCTCTATATCCTTGTCAACACTGGTTATTTTCTGTTTTTGTTTTTTTATTGTAGCCACTCCAGTAAATGTGAAGTGATATCTCATTGTGGTTTTGATTTGCATTTTCTTAATATCTAATGATGTTGACTGTCTTTTCATGTGCTTATTGGCCATTTCAAGAAATCTGTTGAGATGCTTTGACCATTTTTTATTTGGAGGGTTTGTGTTGCTCAGTTATAAGAGTTCTTCATATATTTTGGATACTAGATCTTTATGAGATATGTTATTTGCAAATATTTTCTCCAGTTCTGTCGGTTGTCTTTTCACTTTCTTGATAGTGTTCTTTGATGCACGAATGTTTTTACTTTTGGTGAAGTTCAGTGTATCTATTGTTTTCCTTTTGTTGCTTATGCTTTTGTTGTCATATTAAGTAAGTTTTTGAAGACAAATTATTGCTGGCGGTTGATGAAAAAGGGTTTTGAGCTGTCTTTTATATTTGATTTTCTCTTCCCCAGCTAATTCTACCATTTCTTATAGGAGTCTAGGCATGATAAAGAAAAGATAGAAAAGAAAGAGAAACGGGACAGTTCAGGAGGAAAGGAAGAGAAGAAACAATATCCTTTTCATCTTGATGTTTTCAGTCAGTATAATGGAAAGCTTTGATACTGGTCATGTTTACAGTTGTACCCTTGTAGTATGTGGTTTAAATACTTAAAGTCTAGTTTTGAAATGCTCTTTCCAGTTAACTCTCTCAAAATGCGTGAAATCTGGAAGTGAGATACTTGATGTTCTTGATTTTTAAAAATACCTCTGTGGTGACTGAGATGTTTTATGCCACTAAGGGATTTATAGTCTTTTGGGTTATATTATCACAGAGAGGAAGAAAGGGAACAGAGAGTCCCTAGGGCTGGAGACACTGGGAATAGAAGGGCAAAATGATGAGGCTGACAAGCAGAGCTGGTAGAGTTTGAGGCTACCAGGCTGGTCAGAGCCATTTCGGCCTGCAAGCTGAGGCGCTGTACTAAAAGGTGAGATGCTGTTCTTTCTGCCACTCCCAAAAGTTGTTTTCCCTTAATTTGTCATCTACTCATAAGTCCTCGGACAAGCACAGATAATGAAGACTTTCAATCAAGGTGAGTATTCTCTCACCACCTTTTCATTTAATGATAAAAACATAAAATGAAGTCTGATAATGTTGAAAAAACTAGATGCATTTTAAAAGCTACAAACACTTGATTTTTTTCACTTAAATATAACGACCAAGTCTTTGGGTATAGATGCAAAACAAGATTCAGAGTTATTTTTAGGCTGTTTTCATTTTAAACTTGCTGATTAGCCACACATTTTTTTTTTAAGCACCAAGATATATTTAAGAACATCTGGCTTTCTCTTCACTCATTCCCATCTTCTCTGGATAGTTAATTATGTGGCTAAAGTCCTTATAGCCTTGTAAATGTTGGTGATGATATCTGCGTTTTATAGGTGAAGAAACAGACTCTGAGAGGTTAAGTTGAAGAGGGTCATAGAGATATTAGCCAACAGAGCCAACACTCAAACCTTGGTCTTTCTATCCTTTAGTGTTCTCTCTTCCTTTTGCTTTCTCATGCTGATGTGTTATCCAAAGACTTTTTTTTGTGTGTGTGCCATTTTTTTCTGCCACTGCCCATGTTTTACAAAGCCAGAAAATATGGTTTGTGTTTTTAGTTAATGTGTAACTTTTTTTTTTTTAAGGTAATGCGCTTATGCTTTATGTGAGACTTAAAAAATGTTTTACCCATTTTAAATAGCGTTTCCATTATGGTGGGTGCAGTTTTCAGACCCTAATATTTCCTTTTTTGAGCACGTATGATAATCTGAATACTTTACTGTTACTGTTTGGTGATGCCTTAGTATTATTGAAGTACCTAGGACAATTTGCCCCCTATATGTAATGGTTCCAAACAGCTGTATTTTGAAGCTACTATCTCTGCTTTTTTTATGGCCATTTTCTTCCTTCCATGTTAGCCATCATTTCATATATTAACTATACTTGCTTGTATATACCTTCCCCTAATATTATTGGGTGCTTCTAATCTTTTACAAGACCAGATAGATAACCAAGGATATTTACCAGTGTTTAAATTATAAGCGAGAGATGTCTGAGAGCCAGCTCTGTATAAGGGTATGGATTTCCTCATCTTTATTTTGGCTGCAAAGCAGGGATTTGAGAGGTTGCCATATAGTCAACACCTGATGAATGGTGTGTTTTTCCTGCTTTTTCGGTGCTTGTTACGAAAGTAGGGCAAATAAGTTATTAAAGAACATTTAGAATTTAAAAGGAAATATTATTGCTAATTCTTCAATTCTAGCTGTTCCTACCCCCATTTCAACCTTGACAACTATCTTCTCTGATGAGCTATAAACTCTTAATCCTCATCTTAATGTTTCTTTTAACCTGGCATTTTGCTGTCACATGTGGTCTCCCTATTAAAAGAAAAACAAAAAGCTTACCTCTCCTATCTGCATTAGGAATTAGCCAGCCATTGTCACTGACAACTTTCACAGTGATTTTATATATCTCTCTTTACTCAGTACCTAAATATTATTATTTTGTATATGAAGGTTATGCTACAGTTTTGAGTTTTTCTTACATTGACCATGAATTTGTATTTTACCTCTCTTTATAATCTCTTAGGAGCAAAGGGATGACAAGACTGTCCAGGGTTAGATATGGTCTTACAGCAAAGCTTCTAGATTCAGATGTCCTTTTAAAAGTACATCTAGCTGGATGCCCATCCTGTTGAATTCCTCATTGACAGCTTTGTACAATACTTTCTTCTTGGATAGACTCTTAATTTTGTGAGACTCTGGTTGATGTTTCTTTGTTTCTTTCTTTCTTTTGAGACAAGGAAGTCTCGCTCTTTTGCCCAGGCTGGAGTGTAATGGCGCGATCTCGGCTCACTACAACCTCCGCCTTCCGGGTTTAAGACATTCTCCTGCCTCAGCCTCTCGAGTAGCTGGGATTATAGGCATGCAACACCATGCCTGGCCAATTTTTGTATTTTTAGTAGAGCTGGGGTTTCACCATGTTGGCCAGGCTGGTCTTGAACTCCTAACCTCAGGTGATCTGCCTGACTTGGCCTCCCAAAGTGCTGGGATTACAGGTATGAGCCACTGTGCTAGGCCATCTGGCTGATAGTTTTTTGTTTTGTTTTTGTTTGTTTGTTTGTTTTGAGACAGAGTCTTGCACTGTCGCCCAAGCTAGAGTGCAGTGGCACGATATCGGCCCACTACAGTCCCCGCCTCCTGGGTTCAAGCAATTCTCCTGCCTCAGCTTCCTGAGTAGCTGGAAATACAGGTGTGCAACACCACGCCCAGCTAATTGTTTTTGTATTTTTAGTAGAGATGGAGTTTCACCATGTTGGCCAGGAGGGTCTCGATCCCTTGACCTTGTGATCAGCCCGCCTTGGCCTCCCAAAGTGATGGAATTACATCCGTGAGCCACTGTGCCTGGCCTTTTTCTCTTTTTTTTTGAGATGGAGTTTTGCTCTGCCACCCAGGCTGGAGTGCAGTGGCGCAATCTCGGCTCACTACAACCTTTACCTCCCGGGTTCAAGTGATTCTCCTACCTCAGCCTCTCTAGTAGCTGGGACTATGTCCAGCTAATTTTTGTATGTTTTATAGAGACGGGGTTTTGCCATGTTGCCCAGGCTGGTCTCGAACTCCTGACCTCAGATGATCCTTGGCCTCCCAAAGTTCTGGCATTACAGGCATGAGCCACTGTGCCCGGCCAATAGTTTCTTTTAAAAAAATATATTGTAAATAGAGATGGGGTTTTAGCATGTTGCCCGGGCTGGTCTGAAACTCCTGGACTCAAGCCGTCTGCCTACCTTGGCCTCCCAATGTGCTGGGATTATAGGGATGAGCCACCATCCCTGGCTGATAGTTTCTTTTTCTGGCTGTTGACTGCCACTTTCTATTTGGATACATTCCAGGGTTGGTCAGGTCTTTTTTTCTTCCTTTTCTTTTAGAATGTTATCATTTCTGATTGGAACCATCTATTTACAGGCTACTTTGAAATCTGCTGCCCTCCCCCACTCACCTTTTAATTTGTTCTATAGAAAGGACAGCTCCTACATATGTCATATTTCCATGATTGAAAGATGTCATTACTTGTAAGATTTCATCATTGTTTTTAGGACAGTTATTTTTAGGCGGGTTGGTAGAAAAATGACACTGATTTGTAAGTGTCATCCTGATTTTCACAAATGTTAAAATAATCACATTAGAATTAAGATACAAGGCCAAGCATGGTTGCTCATGCCTGTAGTCCTAACATTAGGAGGCTGAGGCAGGAGGATTGCTTGAGGCCAGGAATTTGAGATCAGCCTGGGCAACATAGCAAGACCCCATTTCTAACAAAAAATATATATATGCAACTTAGCTAGGCATGGTAGTATGCACCTGTCGTCCCAGCTCCTTGGGAGTCTGAGGCAGGAGGATTTCCTGAGTGCAGGAGTTCAAGGCTGCAGTGAGCCATGATTATACCACTGCACTCCAGCATGGGTGACAGAGCAAGACTCTGTCTCTTAAGAAAACAATTAAGAAGATACTGTATATAAGTATGACCATAATTAAATTCCTTCCAGTCTTCTGTCATCTTCTGTTGTTTCCTATTTTTGGTCACAAACCTCTGTTCCTTGTATGCATCTTCTGTTGCCCTTAAAGTCCTTGTCCAAATTCGTCTTACTTCTCCTTGATTTAGTCTCTTGAAGATTACTAGTTCCTTTCCCTTTAACTTTTTCTTAATTCCTGATATAAAATTGTCCTCTGAGAACCACCCTTTGGCTTCTCAATTTTTATTTGATATATGTGATCCTCAACTCAGGGATGTTGAGTTCAGCAAACTTTTGGAAGTCCTTTTGTGAATCAAATGCTATGCTAAGCTGACATTTGCTCCCAGGCCTTGAGATGCTCAAATCTCCTTGTTTTTTATTAATTTGGATGTAGGGCTTTGATTTTAAAGAACATTAGTAGCTAGCACTACTTATAATCTGTAATTTAATCTACATTTCTATTCTAATCCTTCATTCCAAGAAGGCTACATATATTTTGCAGATCCATTCCTTCCAGTCTCACATGTTTAACCTAATTTTTATCCTCTAAATCCAAGGTTGCAAATTGTCAGCCCTTGGGCAGAATGTTTGGCTTGTTAAATGTACTTCCTTATTTTATTTTTCAGGCAGAGTCTCGCTCTGTTGCCCAGGCTGGAGTACAGTGGTGCAGTCTGGCTCACTGCAACCTCTGCTTCCCAGGTTCAAGCAATTCTCATGCCCTAGCCTCTCAGATAGCTGGGATTACACGCATGTGCCACCATGCCTGGCTAATTTTTTTGTATTTTCAGTAGAGATGATAGGGTTTTGCCATGTTGGCCAGGCTGGTCTCAAACTCCTGACCTCCAGTGACCCGCCCTCCTTGGCCTTCAGAAATGCTGGGATTATAGGTGTGAGCCACTGTGCCCGACCTCTTTTATTTTAATTTTTTGTAGAGATGAGATCTCACTATATTGCTCAGGCTGGTATTGAACTCATGGGCTCAAGTAATCCTCCTGCTTCTGCCTCTCAAAGTGGTGGGATTACAGATGTGAGC